AGAATGTTAAAGATGTTACTGCCCTGTCTTTGGGCTTGCATGGTTTTGGATGAGAAGTCTGCTCTTTTCCTCATTTCTGTTCTTTGTATGCATTGTGGCTTTTTTCTGTCAATATTTCCTCTGCACTGTTCATTTTCAATATGAACACTGGCAATAATGCACCTACATTTAGGGGTTTGTTTTTAAATTCTTCTTGTGTATTGTAGAGTTCTTGGATTGGGTAAAGTCTTTGATCATTTAAGAAAAAATTCTCAACCACTATCTCTTAAAATATTTTTCTTCTCATTCTCTCCCTCCTTTCCCCCTGGATTTCCAATTACACATAAATTAAACCACAAAAAAGTTTTCCCACAGTTCTTCGGTATTTTATTCTGTTTTCTTCACATTTTTTTGGTTTCAGTTTGGATGATTTTGATTGCCCTTTGTTCAAGTTCCCTGACATTTTTCTCAGCTGTTTTTAGCTACTTACATGTTCTTCAGAATCATCCTTTGTTATAACAATTCTTTACTAGCATTTCCCATTTGATTATTTATTAATTTCCACTGAAAATCCCCCATCTGTTCAGGTACATTGTCTGCCCCTTTCATGAAAACATGTAACACATCAACCAGAAATATATAAAATTCTTTATCTGGTATTTCTAAAATATGGTCATCTCTAAGTGAGGTTCTGATTGGTCTGCTGTCTCTTAGCAGAGGGTTGTATGCTCTTTTTTTAAAATCTTGTAATTCTTGATTGAATGCCAGAAGAGTTGACTCATTGGAAAAGACCCTGATGCTGGGAGGGATTGGGGGCAGGAGAAGGGGACGACAGAAAATGAGATGGCTGGATGGCATCACTGACTTGATGGACACGAGTTTGAGTAAACTGCGGGAGTTGGTGATGCACAGGGAGGTATGGTGTGCTGCGATTCATGGGGTGGCCAAGAGTTGGACACAACTGAGCGACTGAACTGAACTGAACTGAACCATGTATCAAACAGTAGAGACTTAAGTAAATAGTATTTTTGCTGGAACTGGGCACACCTGTACTGCTGGAATGTTAAGAGTAGAATGTTGAACCAGTCCCATTGAGAATTAAGTTGAAATTGGATTCTGTTTTTACAATAGTTATCTTCCATATACTGCTTGAAATTTTTCTAACATTACCTTGTTTTAGGGTGGGTGCTGGAGGATTTTCCTCAATGGTCCTTGTCCACCTTCAGCTTCTGGCTATCTCTGTGCACCTGTGCCACTCCTCAATGGTCCTTGTCCACCTTCAGCTTCTGGCTATCTCTGTGCACCTGTGCCACAGAATTCTCCATCCACAGTCTTCTCCTTTTCCTTACATAGCCAGCTATTGGCTTGTCACTAAGAGAAAGCTAGCCTGTTTATGGGGACCAGGGATGTTCTTTATTGAGTTGGTTTAGTCTTACTCTTGAGTGGGGACTGGAGTGATCAGAAACTCTATACGTTTTCGGGAGCTAGGACTATATAACACTAATAATGAGAAAAACTCTCTTTTCTAGGCTGTGAACAAAAAAAGCAGGTGATACTGCCTCTTTGTAAGGAAACTGAGGTCCAGAGGAAAGAAAATTAAAGGAGAGCAACATAAAGCCCTTTTGAGTGACTCAGACTCAAGTCTTACCTTATCAGTATCTTTTCACTTAAATGAACTGAGATGAGAAACATTTTTGGTTTAAGCAATTCTGTAGGTTAATGAAATTCTGTAGGTTACAGTTTGTTAACCTACAATTAAAAGCACCCTGAGTGAAAAAACCACCATGAGCTCTCATGATCTTCCCTTGGAAATGAGAGTACTAAAGAAACACATTAAAAGCCCTGAATTTCTGATGATACTGTGAAACTTGAACTTGCACCTTGGAAGCCAGGTTAAGCCTGTGCCTTGGTCACCCCATTCACCTAACAGGTTGATATCTGACAGAGAAACTATGGAGCACCAATTTATACTATGTCTGAATTGTACCAGGTTGTTTAAGGCTGCATGGGCTTTGAAGAAATTTTATAGGTAGTTAAAGCTGCTGACACCTAATCTATCTGTATCCTCTAGGGATCTCTGAACATTACCTTCAGGAGTTTTACTCTTTAATTTTGGCTGTAATGCCATCTAAAGAAATAGAGCAATCACATTACGAGTTCTTAATTATAAGGGACAATGTCTCAGTACTTTATTGCTTTGGTAAAATGTTAACTGTGAATTTTAAAAAGTACAAAAAAGACTAAGCTAAAATTCTGCTTGCCAGAGAAAACCACTGTATACATGATAGTGAGTTATCTTTCATAGGTTATCTATTAAGCATATATTTGAACATATATGTATAAACACCAAAGGTAACTGGATATTATGAAGGTGCAATCTGCACTTTTTACTAAACAATATGCATGAGCTTTCTCTGTCATTTTATATTGGTCCTATACTTCCTATAGCACCATATTATAGGAACACTGAGAAATTTATCTTTATTAATTTGCAGTTTTAATAATTACCCTTATGTATATAGCCTGTTTAAAATCACTTTATCATAAACTATTATTCTATGATTTCCAGGAACATGGAGAAATTTATCTTTATTAATTTGCAGTTTTAATAATTACCTTTATGTATATAGCTTGTTTAAAATCACTTTATCATAAACTATTACTCTATGATTTCCAGGTATGTACACTGACCAGTTCAGAATTGGGAAAGGAGGACGATAGACTATATACTGTCACCCTGCTTATTTAACTTATATGTAGAGTACATAATGTGAAATGCCAGGCTGGATGAATCACAAGCTGGAACAAAGATTGCCAGGAGAAGTATCAACAACCTCAGATATGTAGATGATACCACTCTAATGGCAGAAAGTGAAGAGGAACCAAAGAGTCTCTTGATGGGGGTGAAAGAGGAGAGTAAAAGAGCTGATTTGAAATTCAACATTAAAAAAAACTAAGATCATGGCATCTGGTCCCATCACTTTATGGCAAATAGGTGGGGAAGCAATGGAAACAGTAAGAGACTATTTTGGGGGCTCCAAAATCACTGCAGATGGTGACTGCAGCCAGGAAATTAAGACACTTGCTCCTTGGAAGGAAAGCTATGATAAACCTAGAAAGCATATTAAAAAGCAGAGACATCATTTTGCTGACAAAGGTCCATCTAGTCAAAATTATGGTTTTCCCAACAGTCATGTACAGATGTGAGAGCTGGAACATAAAGAAGGCTGTGTGTGTGCACGCATGCTCAGTCGTGTCAGACTCTCTGCAGCCCCACACACTGTACCCACCAGGCTCCCCTGATCATGGAATTTCCCAGACAAGAATACTGGGGTGTGTTGCCAAACAAGGCTCTGCACTGAAGAATTGATGCTTTCGAATTGCAGTGCTGGAGAAGACTCTTGAGAGTACTTTGGACTGCAGAGAAATCAAACCAGTCAATCCTAAAGGAAATCAACCCTGAATATTCATTGGAAGGACTATTGCTAATGCTCCAATACTTTGTGAAGAGTATTAGAAGTGCCACCTAATGTGAAGAGTCAACTCATCGGAAAAGATCCTAACGCTGGGAGAAACTGAAGGCAAAGGCAGAAGGGGACAGCAGAGGATGAGATAGTTAGCATCACCAACTCAATGCACATGAATCTGAACAAACTCTGGGAGACAGTGGAGGAAAGAGGAGCCTGGCGTGCTGCAGTCTGTGGGGTTGCAGAGAGTCGGACATGACTTAGCAACTGAACAACAAAAATGTACACTTTACATTTTGATACATATTGTAAAACTCTGACAAATTTGTATTTTTCACTTCATCCAATAAAATGCATTGTTCTTGAAGATATAGATTAGCAAGTAAAAGGAAATCTTATCCCAATAATAAATACATTTGAAAAAATGTCTAGAAAAATTCAATATTTTTCCTTTCCTTACTAAAAACAAAATTACCATATGATCCACCAATCCCACTCCTGGCCATACATCTGGACAAAACCATAATTCAAAGAGATACACGCACTCCTATGTTCATAGCAGCGCTATTCACAACAACCAAGAAATGGAAAACAACCTAAATGTCCATTGACAGATGAATGGATAAAGAAGACGTGGCACATACATACAGTGTAATATTACTCAGCCATAGAAAAGAATGGAATAATGCTATTTGCAGCAACACAGATGCAACTAGAAATTATTTTTACACTAAATGAAATAAGTCAAAAAGAGAAAGACGAATACCGTATGATATCACTTACATGTGGAATCTAAAATATGACACAAATGAACATATCTATGAAACAGAAACAGAATCATGGGCATAGAGAACAGACCGGTGGTTGCCAAGAGGTTGGGGGAGGGCTGGAGTAGGAGGTACACACACACACGGAGCTAAACTTAACCAGATAGTACACTGTAGAGAAAGAGGCCAAATGCTAAGAAAGTCAGCCCATCCCTGCTGATGAGGGACAAATGGGGACGACCAATCCCAGGGGGGTTAAACCAAATTCATGTCATTTAAGATTGAGACACTGCCCATGTTCTACATTTCAAATAATGTTTCTGTTTACTTATTTGCTTACATTAAGGTGACTTGCAGGATTCCTCCTCCAAATTAATTTTAAATTATCTTCTGGGGAAAATCAGCTCAATAAAAATTTCAAACATGACACCTTTACATACTTTTAGTCATTTAGCAAAAAAGTACTGAGCACCTTCATTGAGTTGGAGACTTAGCAATGTATGAAACCCCTTCTCTTAATAAGCTTACATTCCAGTGGACGTGAATTTAGGCATGCTCATCGTTGTGTCAATACTTTTGTTAAAATCCTGACCACACTCATGTCTTTTCTAAGCCATAGTACAAGAGCTGATTAAAGTCACTTGCAGTGACTGATATTCAAGTTCCCATGAAATCCCATATGGAACCCCGCTCATTAGATAAGTCTCTGCTGTGTGGTCTCCTGAGTATTGTGAATGTTGATGTTGAGCAGAAACATTACATTTTCATGAAAGAAATTCTTTTTCTACTATGAGAACTCGAGTGAGTGGAAAATTTCAGCTCTTGTTTGAGGACTTCAGAATAAAATGGAACACCACATTACAGAACTTCGCTTCTGTATGGATTCTCTGATGAAGGGTAACCCTTACTATATTCTTCACTTGTATAGAATTTATCACCACTGTGGACTCTTTGATGAATTAGGAGCCCTGAACTCCAACGGAAACCCTTACCGCACGCGTCACATTTGTAGGGTTTCTCTCCTGTGTGGACTCTCTGATGAGCCTGGAGGTTTGATCTCTGACTGAAGCCCTTTCCACACACTTCACATTTGTATGGTTTTTCCCCAGTGTGGACTCTGTGATGGGCTTGAAGACTTGAAAACCCACTGAAGCCCTTGCCACACTGTTCACATTTATAGGGCCTCCCTTCTGTGTGGACCCTCTGATGGGCTTGGAGGCGGGAACTCTCACTGAAACCCTTCGTGCACACTGCACATTTGTAGGGTTTCCCTCCGGTGTGGACCCTCCGATGTGCTTCAAGGCGTGAGCTCTGACTAAAGCCCTTCCCACACATCTCACATTTATACGGCTTGACTCTGGTGTGGACTCTCTGGTGGCCTTGAAGATATGCTCTCTGACTGAAGCCCTTCCCACAAACCTCACAGATGTATGGTCTCTCTCCGGTGTGGACACTCTGATGGCTCTGAAGGTAAGACCTCTGACTGAAGCTCTTACCACACTCATCACACTGGTAGGGTTTCTCTCCTGTGTGGACTCTCTGATGGGCCAGAAGAGTTGAGGCCTTGCTGAAGCCCTTCTCACATTCTCCACATTTATAGGGTTTCTCTCCTGTGTGAACCCTCTGATGAATTTGAAGATTAAAGCTCCAACTGAAGCCCTTCCCACACTCTTCACACTTGAATGGTTTTTCTCCCGTGTGGACCCTTTGGTGGCCTTGAAGGTGTGAACTCCGACTGAAGCCCTTCCCACACTCCTCGCACTTGTATGGTTTCTCGCCAGTGTGGACTCTCTGATGCCCTTGAAGGTATGAATTACGACTGAAGCCCTTCCCACATGCCTCACATTTGTATGGTTTTTCTCCCGTGTGGACTCTCTGATGGGCTTGAAGGTATGAACTCCGACTGAAACCCTTATCACACTCCTCACACTTATAAGGCTTCTCTCCTGTGTGGATTCTCTGATGAACATTTAGAACGGATCTATGACTGAAGCCTTTACCACATGCACTGCATTTGTACGGCTTCTCGCCAGTATGGACTCTCTGGTGATCTTTAAGTTTTGAATTCCAGTTGAAGCCATTCCCACATGCTTTGAAAGGTTTTTCTCCAATGTGAATTTTCTGATGGCCTTGAAGATACGAACTCTGGCTGAAGCTGTTACCACATGTGTAATGTTTACAGGGTTGTTCTCTAGTGTGGACTATCTGAAGGTCTTGAAAATGTGAGCCCAGACTGAAGCCATTGGCCTCAGAATTATAGGGAATCTCTTCCATGTGAACTCTGTGTTGAATGTTCAGATCTGAGTTACAAATGAAACCCTTCTCACACTCAACATCTGTGTATCGTTTCTCTTCAGTGTGGATTTTCTGATGGTCTTGAAGACAAGAATTCTCATTAAAGACATTCCCATTCTTCTCAGATTCATGGGATTCCTCCTCGATGTAGATCCTAACAATACTACTAAGGTTTAAGCTATGACTGAAGCCTTTCTCATACATGCTGCATCTATCAGATGTCTCTCCTCTGGGTATAAGTTCATATGTGTTATGAAAGGAGCACTGATTGATGCTCTCACTGTATTCACATTTAAACAGCTTCTCTTTTGCATGTCCTTTCTGATGCGACTGTAGATGTAAATTCTCAAAAACACAATGATCTCCTCCACAAACACTCTGATGAATATGAAGAACTGACCTGTAACTACAGTCCTTTTCACACGGACTGTATGTATGGGGCTTTCCTTCCAAGTCTAATTGCTGATGAACTTCAGAGCTGGACTCATCGCTGAAGGCTTTTCTGTACTCATTACCAGGATAGGGCTTTTGCCCTGTTTGAATATGATTAAGCAATGAAACCTTCATGACATCTTCTCCACAGTCATGGCAGCTAGAGTTTTTTTCTGTTCTGTGTACACCCAGAATGTCACTGTGATGTGAGATCCAACTGTTGCTGTCAGGTTTACAGAAACCATTTTCCATGGAAACTTGCTGACATTGACACTGATAATTACGTGACTCTGTAAGGTACATTTTCCTCCAAGAATGGTGGGCTCGCCAAGAGGGAAATTCTTGACTTTTTATGTCATTGGAACCATCTCCTGTGTGAGTCAAGACATAGTTCTCATCTTCAGAAATCTGAATTGGTATTCCTGCCCAAACCTGGCAGGGGGAATCACCTTGTTTTTGCAATGGAGAAATATTCTCTTGGAAGTTTCTCATGGAATCTTGACACCCAGTTAACTTGCCTGCACCTTGTTGCCAGGACTGCCAGGTGGAAAACTCTTTGGGGGAAAAGCAGCTTAATCCCACTTCTTGAATACTTTCCATATTATGTGGACTCTTGGTTCCTATAAGAATAAGGAGATTTTAGACATGTGCATAATGAATACTTTTATTCAGAGATTTCAAGATTCTGCACTTAGATCATGACATGAAACTTCAATAAACTGGAGGAAAGTTTGTTACTACCTCTGACAATACTTAGAATATCCTTTACCTTTGGCTACACCAGGAATAGAAGTAGGATCCACAGAATTTGAGCTACACATATGCCTCAAAATCAGGGCTATGCAATGCAACCTGGACATCAAAGATGGTTTCTGATGGAGGGTCAAAAGGCCTAGTTAAACCATGCACACATTATCATGGGCTGCCTGGAGATTCCAAGGAAAAAACAGATGGGGGTAGTCTCAAACTGGAAAGAATTTAGTTTCAAGTGGACAAATGTGTTTTGCCCTGATAGTAATTTATCATTTTTCTCTGCCACTTGGGCATGGTAATGGTTTTTTTTTGTTTGTTTGTTTTTAAGAAGATCATGTGTTAAATGCTATGCAGATGAAGGTAAACAGAGACCTTTAATCGATTCTTGAGGTCTTGTATGGCCTAACTCTAATGAGTTCATTTTCATGAGAATAATAAGTTCTCCTATGTCACTGTAAGCCATAATCAGTTTTAACTCCTTTTAAAATATATTTTGTGATTAGCAAGGGCCATGGGGCAGGTGAAATGTGAAACACTGTGACAGAATTGTACAGGCAAGATGGGAATTTGCTCTATGACTCAAGAAACTCAAACCAGGGCTCACTCTGTAACAACCTAGAGGAGTGGGATGGGAAGGGAGGGTCAAGAGGGAAGGGACATAGGTATACCTATGGCTGATTCATGTTTATGTTTGGCAGAAACCAACACAATACTGTAAAGCAAGTATCCTTCCATTAAAAGTAAATCAATCTAATTCAAAAAAGAATTGCACAGGCAAGTTTCATGGTCCTTTGAGGCAACTTAAGAAGCAAAACTCAATGAACACTGACTTTGTCATTTTGCTGGAAAAGCACTTTATTGTTTAAGGAATCTGAGGCACTGGAAGAGTTGAAGATGGGCATGTTTGGGTGGAAGTGGCTTGTCTGTTAGTTACTAAAGCTCAGGTTATCAGCAGGCAGCATATCATTCACATCCTAGTGAGAAGTATACTTATTCCCAGAGAACAAGTGGTCCAACAGGGCTGAAGCAATAACACGCACTCTCCTAATACTTGGCGAAACATTAATTCTCTTTCAGTATCCAAAGTGAGGGAAAAAAGAAGTAAAGGGGATTTTTTCTCATAATGTGAATATTACCTTCAAATGCAATAATTCTTCCTTAGCTGCTTGTGCTTTCCTGTCTCTAAACACTGGAGTGTATTGCACACAGACAAGGGCACTTTGCTGTGCGCACTGTCTCACCCTCACTGCCTATTATACTCCCAGTGAACCGCAGTTGCTCAATGAGCATATGATGAATAGATCACAGCTTGAGTCATTCAGTCACAGAACTGAAAGGGCATGCATGTGTAGGTTACTTTTTATGGGAAAGAAGCTGGTGATGGCAATTTTATTGCACAGCTGAAAGGCTGTATGAGAGGCAGGGTTACACTCAGTTATCACTTGCCAGAGAGAAAAGCAAAGGTCACGAGAGTCTTGTGGACTGTGTCTTTTTAATTTTGAAAATAACCTTTGAAATGGTGTAGTTTTTCTCACACAAAATCTTACTCTTAGTCCCACCCTATCCCCAACTTTTAAAAAAAGGAAAAAAATAAAGGGCGACCCTGATGACTGTGTGGCAGCAGGCTCTGGGGCAATGCGTTGGCTGCAGGGCCTACCGCACATCCATGAGTACTCATCTCAGTACTTAAAAACAAGAATGCTTAGCGACGTCTTTGGTTTCTCAAAAGCAAGGCTTACAGTTATTACACTAACATTTTGTCACCTAAAGATGAAATGGAGTTCCCTGGTGGTCCAGTGGCTACGACTCCACGCTCCCAATGCAGGGGGCCTGGGTTCCATCCCTGGTGAGGGAACTAGATCCCACATGCTACAACTAAAACCCAGTACAGTCCAAAAAAAAGAGTGTATATATATATATGTGTGTGTGTGTGTATATATATATATATGTATGTATATAGCTAAATGCTGCATGTTATAGCCACATATTGGATTACGTAGCAATGGTTTTTTTGGGGGCAATGATTTTTTGGAAAAAAAAAAAGAGTTATAATCTCAGATTGGGAGGGATGTCCCCAAGGTACCATGAAGGTGAAAAATTAGTACTTTAAAAATAAGAATATATATTTTCAAAATTTTGCATGAATATAAGGTATAAACATGTTAATATATGGAAATACTAAATAAAAGGTACTTCAAAATATGACATTACATTCCTACTGATACTATCAGGCAGGGGGACTAGCACACTATGGCCCTATCTCTGTTTTTGTATAGCCTAGGAAGAAGAATAGATTTTACATTTTTTAAACTGGTGTAAGAAAAAACATTTGGTCTCTCTGACAGAGGTCAAACATGGTCAGCAAAACCTAAAATATTTACCATCTGGACCTTCAGAGAAAAAGTTTGCTGACACTTTCTCTAAAGAGTATGTTGCCTGTATGACCTTGAACCTGAACTGAGACAAGAACAGAAAAATCATAGAAGTGAAGTAATTTGCTTTGAAATTTTCAGTTGACTCTTATTCCCACCCAGGAGCATTCCCAGCTGCACAACTGTGACCATGGCTTTTGACATCAGAGTCTGAGGACTCAAGAAACATTACTAAAATGTTTGGACTCACATAAATGTCCAGCTTGGAAGTTCTACTTCAAAAAGAAAATTATAGGCCAGTACCCCCAGTGAACATGATGCAAAAATCCTCAACAAAATATTCTGAATTCAACAGCACATTAAAAGATTGTACAAGACAATCACATGGGTCTCATTCTAGGGATGCAAGGATGGTTCAACATCTTCAAGTCACTACACATGACACCCAATATTAACAAAATGAAGGATAAAAATCATATGACCAAAAGCAACAAAAGCAAAAATAAACAACTGGGACTACATCGAACTAAGAAGCTTCTGCACAGCAAAGGAAACCAACAGTAAAATGCAAAGGCAAACTTACTGAATGGGAGAAAATATTTGTAAATCATATATTTGATAAGGGCTTAATATCCAAACTACATAGAGAACTCATACAATTCAATAGCAAAAAACAAACTATTCAATTAAAAAAAAGTAGGCAGAAGACCTGAATAGTCATTTTCCCAAAGAAGACACACAGATGGCCAACAGGTTCATAAAAAGATGCTCAACAACACTAATCACCAGGGAAATACAAATCAAAATTACAGTGAGCTATCAACTCCCATCTGTTAGAATGGCTATTATCAAAAAGATGTGCATGTGTGCTCAGTCACTTCAGTCGTGTCTGACTCTTTGCGACCCTATGGACCGTGGCTCTAAGACAAGAGATGACAAATGCTGGCAAGGATGTAGAGAAAAGGGTTTTGGGAACCCTTGTACACTGCCGGTGGGAATATAAGTCAATGTAGCCACTATGGAAGTTGTTATGGAGGTTCCTCAGAAAATTAAAATAGAATTATCATATGGTTCAGTAATTCTACTTCTAGGTATTTATCTGAAGAAAAAGAAAACACTAACTTAAAAAAATATAGCCCATAGGGTTGCAAAGAATCAGACATGACTAAACAACAAATGTACACTGTACATGTACACTGCAGAATTATTTACAACAGTCAAGATAAAGGAACAATCTTAGTGTCCACTGATGGATAAATGGATAAAGAAAATTCAGCCATAAATAAAAATGAAACCTTGCCATTTGCAACAATACAGGTAGACCTTGGAGGTATTTAAAGACAAATCCTGCTTGATCTCTATTATATGTGGAATCTAAAACCATTCCCCAACATACAAACACAACAACCAAGCTCACAGATAACAGAAAACAGATGGTTGGTTGCGAGAGGCTGCAGTTTGGGGATGGGAGAAATAGGTGAACTGATTTTTTAATTTAAATAAATTGAATAAAATTAAAAAAAAAAAAAGAAACTGTAGCTAGGTCAAGAGACTGCTACATATTAGAGGATGGGAGAGTAAGAAGTAAGAACAGAATGAGAAGATAAAGAACTGGGCATTTGAACGAGGAAGTTAATGCAAGAGTGTCTCATCTGAAATGGCTGCATGGGAGGGCAGATTATCCTTCAGCACTGATCATTTCTGATATTTCTTTTAGTTGCCTGGCTATTCTTAACCTTTTAGGAATAATGAGTACCTACCCATGAATACTAAAGGACACCTAAACAGAATCAGGACAGGTGTTCATCTGATGACAAACGACACTCTGGAGCATCTCTCTATCACACGGTTTACTCTACACCTGTTAGCTGCCTCGGGGAGCACTGAAGACAGTGAAGACCAGGCATGTATTAACCGACTCACTCATTCAAGGCACAGAGCAAAGCAAGCCAAGTAACCTGAAGCAGAAGCACCACTGAGACAGGTCTGATGGGCGGCAACTGGGCCAGTGCAGCTGGGACAGAAGGAATGAGCTAGAATAGGAGAAGCTAGAGCAGTGAGGGTACCGACACCTCAGGGCCTGACACCTTCTGACTCGTGTCCTGGGGGGGTCCTCTGGCTGCTGGGCGACTACTGGATGGTTCTCACCTGAACACCCACCTCTCTGGGTCTCCATCATCAAAAGCTCTTCTCTCTCCAGCTGGAATATAAGCTCTGGTTTGAAGGGCTGGTTTCCTGTAAAAAAGGAGAGAAGAGCGAAAGTATTCAATTTTGACTAAGTCTAACTTGTGGTTTTTTGGTTTTTTCCCCTCCTGAATCATATTTTTGTTTTGGGGTTTTTTTTATCTTCTGAATCATGTTTTTGGTGTCATATCTAAGAAATCTTTGCCTAACCTAATGTCATGAAAAATTTCTCCTGTGTTTCCATCTACAAGTTCCACACTTCTACATTTTACATTAGGCCCTTCATCCACTTTGAGTTAATCTTTCATTTTGTAGGTGTGGAGGCATGCAAATATATGCATACGGAAGTCCTAAGTATTTCAGCACCATCTGTTGAAACAATACTTTCTCCAGTGAATTGCCTTGGCACTTGCAGTACATATAAAATAGTCTCGGAGTTGCTTATTCCGTTCACTGCAGTAAACAAATCCACTAAGAAGTGTTGAGGATTGCAATTCATTCTCGCATCCTCCTCCCACTAGACCTAAAACTAAAGGTATATAGAGTTATAGACTGTATTCCTTAGCTACTTCCATGAATCCTTTCTCTGTTCACTGTGGTTAAGGTATTCCTTTCAAATACAATTTATTTTTCTTTTCGATGACCATCCCTTCACATTCTTATTTATTTTTTAGAATGTGTTGAACTAAATATTTTCTTAAAAGACTTTTTTGCTGTGGATCATTTTTTAAAAGTCTTTATTGAATTTGTTACAGTATTGCTTCTGTTTTATGTTTTGTTTTTTTTGGCTGCAAGGCATGTGGGATCTTAATTCCCCAACCAGGGATTAAACCTGCACCTTTTGCATTGGTAGGTGGAGTCTTAACCACTGGACCACCAGGGAAGTCCCCTAACATATTTTCCAAAGTCCAAACTAGACAAAAAGGTATTATTCAGACAAGAGTGACTCTCTCAAACATACCTTCTACACTATCACAACTCACCATTGACAAAAAACTAAATTCATGATTTCCTGATTAATCCTTGTGTTGCTCACATATATTTACTTATTTTCCCTTTTTTACCTTTACACAAACAGGTATACTATTAATGCTTTTTTGTACTTGGTTATCTTCAGGGAAAATTCCTACAAGTGAGTTGCTGAGAACAGGTAAATCCATAGTTCTGTTAGGCACTGTCAAATTCTTCTCCATAGGGGAGGTAACATGTTGCATTCCCACTGTCAAAACATGAAAGTGCTTTATTCCCCACAACTTTGCCCCCCCTCAAAATAGTGTTAAGTTCTGAATTCTGGGGGACTTCCCTAGCGGTCCAGTGGTTAAGACTTGGTGCTTGGGGCCTGGGTTCAATCCCTGGTTGGGGAATGAAGATCCCATAACCTTCATGAGACAGCCGAAAAAAAAGTTTTTGAATTTTTGCGAACCTCATGAATGAAAAATGGCGTTTCAGTGTAATTTGAATTAGCACCTCTATTACTTTGAATGAAACTGAATAAATATTCATATGTATAGATATTTATATATATGCATGTATGTGTATGTATATGAATATAGGTGTACACATCCAGACACACCCCTAATCCTAGCTTTAAGCCCTGAGACCAGGAAACAAAGACACCACAGTGGCAAGGACAATTCCTAGCATCCAAGGCCTATTCTGTAACCTTTCCATATAAGGAAAGGTTAGTGTAGCCTTGAGTATAACAGCTTTTAGTGAGTCCTCAGAGTCCTCCAGCAAATTATTTGAGGCTCTGGGCATCCCCCAGCTTGCCACTGGTGTCAGAGTGTAGTCCTGGGGATTCTTGAACTTGGCCTGCACACAGAAGCATTTAGGGATATTAGGGCCATGTCATGTGCAAATTACCCTCAAATGGTTCAGAGAAAAATTATGCATATGAGAAAAGAGCATTCACATAAATGATAAAGTAAATGGGGTGAAATATAACTCTAGGTGTGTGTGCTGCGCTCAGTCATGTCTGACTCTTTGTGATCCATGGACTGTAGCCTGCCAGGCTCCTCTGTCCATGGGATTTTTCAGGCAAGAATACAAGAGTGGGTTGCCATTTCCTCCTCCAGGGAATCTTCCCAACTCAGGGATCGAACTTAATCACCTGTGTCTCCTCCATTACAGGCGGATACTTTACCACTGAGCCATAGGTAAAAGCGATAGGGGTATTCTTGTTCTATACTTTTACAAATTTTCTGTATGTTTGAAGACAGATATGTCACTAAAGCAGAAAAACCAAAATACCTCTGAAAAACCACAGCTACAGTTACTGGCACCATGAAAATCAGAAAAGCTGCAGCAACTCGACTTCACGGGGCAGGACCACAAGCTCCCCATTCATATTAATAGTTCAAGGGACATGTTTTTTTCCTGGACAGGAACACACTGTCTCTGTCTCTGGGAATACTAGGACTTGTAGCTACCTAAGCTGAGAGGACGATTTTAGGAGTTCCAGAGCTTCAAATGACTGCCCACAAAGGTCTCGCAGGAGGCTGATACTGAGTCCCCAAGGCGCTGCGCTCACCCACTGAGAGCAGGTTCCGGAAGTTCTCCAGCATCACTTCCTGGTACAGCTTCCTCTGAGCCGAGTCCAGCAGCCCCAGCTCCTCCTCGGTGAAGACCACGGCCACGTCCTTGAAGGACACTGGCTCCTATAACACCAAACACACACACACAATGTTTACGGAAGAGGGGCAGCCCTGAGAAAGTGTCAAGGACGGGAGGTGGTTCCGGATTCCCAAGGACCGAGTCACATTTCAGCAGCTGCCTTCTGTTTGCCTTTCACACTGCTGATTCCATCCACCAGAAAGGCTGCAGGAAAAGGAATCCTTGCACTTGAAACGGCTGCCTTTTGTTAGTACTCCTGTAGGTAAGTCCCTGGAGCTCTGCTGCATTGTGTGGGCTGCTGGAAAAGCTTTAGTTCCAACAGTGTGCGAGGGAGTCTGTTTTCCCTCTTTTTATACACATATACTGCTTATTTGATGTGCCAGACTTATAGGGCATGAGTCACCCTTCCTATTCAAGTATGGAGCCCCTCCTCTGGGCCCCCATCCGGATGTGCAGCATTTATGGACACAGTTCTGGGGCCTCACTCTTCTGTGGGGCCCTGGACCCAGTCCTCATCCTCTCTTCATTTGCAGGCTGGTAACTGTACCTTAGGGTACTGGTGATAATAAAATGAGTGACTATAGGTAAAACATTTAGGAACAGTGCCTGGTACATAGTATGTACCCAGTGTGTGCATGCTAAGTCGCTTCAGTTGTGTCTGACTCTTTGTGACACTATGGACTGTAGCCCACTAGGCTTTTCTGTCTGTGGAATTCTCCAGGCGAGAATACTAGAGTGGGTTGCCATGACCTCCAGATTTTCCCAACCCAGGGATCAAAACCGTGTCTCTCTACATCTCCTACATTAGCAGGCAGGCAGATGGGTTCTTTACCACGAGAGCCACCTGGGGAGCCCAAGTATCTAATAAATGCTAACTATTATTGTGATTACTATTACCATTATTATTGCTGACATTCCACTTCAGGGCTACACAGTAATTCAAGGAACTGATGGTTGAGAATATAGTGAACTGATACAAATAATGCATGCTTACTTAGTTTTAGAGTATATATTATTAACAATGTTGCAAGATTGTTTCCATATAGACCTTAGTCCCTAGAACTCTGCTGGTTATCTCCTGAAGATAAATTATAAAAACTAGAAAAGGTAATGTTGAAGAATAACAAACTTTAAAGTTTTGAGACCATAATGGCAGGTGTTTCCTCCAAAAAGATTTTTCTTAGTTTATTCTGCTTCCAAGAAAGTATAAATTCCTAAGCCTCCATACCTTGGCCAACAATGGACATGAATACTTAAAAGCAAAAACCAAAAAACTTTGATAATCTCAGAAGTCAATTTGGGAAGCCAAAACTAGTTATCTCAAAAAACTTTCACAAAATTGATAAGTAATGAAGATTACTCTCTTTTCATATGTTTGCTGGTCATCTCTGTTTCTTGTTTTGTAATAACATTCATTCACCTGGGGACAGTAAGGCCTTTTCTTCCATATACAATATAAAGACTTTTCTTCCTATCTTGTCTTTTAATTTTTTTGCTATAGGGAAATTTATAATTGTATCTATTATTGCAAGTCTAGTTATGAATGCACATGAAAAATAAACATAAAAAAACAAGTGATGTAGGCAGGGTAATAACATGTGGGCCTTCCCATTTTAAAAATTTCTATTCTCTTTTACACTGTTAGTTGTGAAACAAAATGGTAATATATAAAACCGAGAAAGGAAATTTTTTAAAAAGTGAACCAAGAGAGCATGACACACAAATAGTATTAAATGTCTGCTGTCACTCTTTACTCTGGCAAGGGAGAAAAATAAGGTATCCACTGAGAAATGAAATTACCTGTTAAGTGACAGAAATAAAAAATCCAACTCACCTGGAACTTCATCATCTTCTTGTCCTTTTCCTGGGGAAAGGCAGAGACCTGAAGAGACACAAAACAAGAAGGAAGCCATGAGAGGGGGGAAACGCATCTCTGTGCAAATCCGAAAAAAGTGTCCCTTCTCCTGGGCAGATGCAGCCACATACACCCTCACAGGCAGGGTGTGGGCTGGGGTGTAACCATCTCCAGGCTAACCCGGCAGGAGGCCCACAAGTGAGGGGCAGCCTGCAACACCACACCCTGCAGCCCTCACACAGCTCGAGCCTCCCCAGACTGCACTATGAACCTGGGGAACATGGAAAAGGAGACAGAGTGAAGTGGGAGAGGAGCGGTGCTTGTTAAAAGTACCTCTAGGGACAGTTATCTTTTAAAACCTCTAATTGCTATAGATTTGCTGCACATTTGCTCTATATTCCTTGTGTATGTGCTAAGTCATGTCTGACTCCTGGTGACCCAGTGGACTATAGCCCACCAGGCTCCTCTGTCCGTGGAATTTTCCAGACAAGAATACTGGAGTGAGTTACCATTTCCTTCTCCAGGGGATCTTCCCAACCCAGGGATCAAACCCACATCTCTTGCATCTCCTGCATTAGCAGGCAGATTCTTTACCTCTGCACCACCTGGGAATTGCTCTATATTGGCACTGTTAAAGATTTGCTATAGGTTTTTTAACCATGGTTAAATTAATTAACCTCTCTAGGCTTACTTCTGCAAGCTGCAACACTAGGAGTGTAAGAGTACAAATACCGTAAGATTGCTGTGAGGATACATGGGTGAGTAGTGAAAAACTGTAGTAACTATACCAGCATTTTATATTAATATCTGGTAGCTTCAGAGAGGCAGGTACTATTTTGCAATATAAAACAGTCCTTACAAAGGGGGGTTTTAAGAAATCTGGGCAGCAGAGATTATGGCTTTTCATTTAGTAATTTGTTGCCCTGATACTACTGCAGGTGGCCAAAAGGTTCATTCGGGTTTTCTGTACCATATTAGGGAAGAACCCAAAAGAACTTTTTCACCAACCCACTAACGTTCATTTAGACTTTGAGACCACCCTTCTGAGAAGTTTAATGGCTGGTGCATGTTCCTCCTGAAGCTGGAGGAGATTCCAGTGGTACACCCCTCTTCCCACGTGGATATGATAAAGATTATAGAAGCCGGTGATGATACTGTATCTATGTGAAGCACTGGCTCCGTGCTTGACCCATGGGAGGATCTGGAAACCATGAGTTTGACTTCTTGGGTTCTTCCTCAAGGTTATTTACCATTCTCAACCGTCATTTACTGTTATCTATCTTCTTTACTATTCCCAAGCAACTTCCAAGTCATCTGTGGAAGAAAAAGAACTCAAAAGAATGGGGAGGGGGCTAATCACAGGCTTTGTGGCCACATAGTGTCTCCGTGGAATAAGGTTCCTTTTGTTCCTTTTACAACCTTTAAATGTAAAAACCATTCTCAGCTGGAGAAGGAGAGGAACTTTACAAAAATAAGCCACGGGCAGTAGTTTGCCCACCTGCATCCTCCACCCTCTTGGGGTTTTTATTTTTTTAAGTCTTTATTGAATTTGTTACAATACTGCTTCCATTTTGTGTTTTCTTGGCCTAGGAGGCATGTGGGATCTCAGTTCCTCCACCAGGGATTGAACCTGCACTCCCTGCATTTGAAGGGGAAGACGTAACACTGGACTGCCAGGGAAGTCCTAATTCTCTTAGCTTTTAACACTCAGCTGCTCCAGGATACCTTTTAACAAGTAACTGACTGCAGTCTTATTAATTCCTAAAATCCAGTTTGCCAGTCTAATAAAAGCAGTGCTTTGTCCAAGTAGGTGATGAGGCAGGGTGGGAGGGGTGTCAGTCCCTGGCTTGGGAAAATCCCCCGGAAGGAGGGCATGGCAACCCACTCCGGTATTCTTGCCTGGAGAATCCCGTAGACAGAGGAGCCTGGTGGGCTACAGTTCATAAGGGTTGCAAAGAGTCAAACAGGACTGAGCATGTATGTAGCAAAGTAAAGTTTTGCAAGTTAATTAACCCCTCAATGCCTCTGTTTCTTCATCTGTAAAATGTAAATAAAAACAGGAAGGATTCTGTAGCAGTCCAGTGGTTAGGAATCCCTGCTTTCACGGTCCAGGGTGCTGGTTCAATCCCTTGCTGAGGAACTAAGATGCCACAGGCAGCACAACGTGGCCCAAAATATATTTTTTAAATGGAAATAAAAATAGGTTTATCATGAAGAATACATGAGTTAATGCATCATAGCGTTAGAAATCCAGTGAAGTTCATAATAAGCACCCAATAAAGATTAGCTATTATTAGTGTCATCCTGTCACCATGAAATATACAAAAGCCACACATTAGCCCATTTGTTTCCAAGTATATTTATTTTATATAGTAATTATCAGTAGGTGTACATCACCTTTTGAATATTCCTAAAAAGCTGGTGGCTTCAGCATCCCAGCAAAACTGACTGCAATATGAAATGTATATGAAAGTAAACTCACTTCAGTGACAACTAACTTTGAGTCACAAGTAGTGCCAAGTGACTTTATCAATTTCCACTGCTGTCGAAAGTTAAAACAAGGAATATCTTCATCCCTGCACAATCTTTTAGTGTGATGTGATGGCCAAAACTCACAGGATTTACACTAAAAGTAATTCTACTGTATGCAGGTTAAACAATAAATGTTAAAAATTGAATGAAGCTGTTCAGCAAGCACTTTTCCAACCAAAGACCCCAGAGAAAAACAATGCATTGCCTACAGGGGTACAGTGATTCAAACGGGTCCAGATTTTTCATTAGAAGTCACGAGGCCAGAAGGAAATAGCACAATACTTTTAAAGGAGGGAAAGAAAAGAATTGTCAAAGCAGAGTTGTATACTAAAGACAACAGTTTAGAAAAATATTTAGGGATGAAGTTTCGTGAAAATGTTCTCAGGTAACTCAGAATTCATAGGGAGCCGACTTGCCTTAAAAGGATTCGTAAAGGAAAACTTTCAAAGGCAACAAGGGAAAAAAAATTGTATCATCAGGAAGGAGTCAAGAATAGCAAATATCTGGGAAAACAAGATAGATGACTTATCTCTTGAGTCCTTTAAAATATATTTTGCCATTGGAAGCAAAAATTATAACACTGACAGGGTTTTCAAAGTATATATTGGGTTGGCCAAAAAGTTTGTTCTGATTTGTCTGTAAGAGTTTTTTATATGACAACTAGAACATAAACATAATGCATTATTTTTCTCTGGGTAATGCTTTGTAGTTTTCTTTGTCTTTAGTTTTGAGTTTATCCTGTTTGGGATGTGCTCAACTTCTTAAAAGAAAACTTGTAGGTTACACTTAAGATACTAGAGAAGAGAAGCAAAATAAACCCAAGTCAAGCAAACAAAAGGAAAAAATAAAGGTAAATGCAGAAATTAATGAAACTGAAAACAGATGTGTAATAGCCAAGTCAATGAAACCAAAAATATTCATTTTTTTTCTCTTACTATAACAAAAACTCTAGCAAGAATGGCAAAGAATAAAACAGAGATTAAAAAAAGGTTACCAATATTAGGAACGAAAGAGTAGATATCATGACTTCTAGAAGAAAACGTAAGAGAAACTCTTCCTGACTTCGAGTAGGCAGAGTTCTTAGATTTGAAAAGCACAACTCATAAAACACTGCTAAATCAGACTTCATCAAAATTAAAATTTTGCTCTGTAAAATACGCTGTTCAGAGGATGAAAAGACAAGCCAGTCTGAGAAAAACTATTTGCAAATGACATCTGACAAAGAACTTATATTTAGAATACATGAATAACTCTCAAACATCAATAGTAAGGAAAATACAACTCAGTTACTCAGTTTAAAACTTAGCAAAACATATAAAGTGAAGAAGATAAATAAGTTGAAGAAAAGATGTATCTGCTCTACATTATTAGGCATTAGGGAAATGTAAATTAGTCACAATAAAATAACAACACAGGTCTATCATAATAAAGGTTTTTTAAAAACCAACAGAGAATGCCGACAAGGATGTGAAGAACCTGGAACTGCCGTACATCATTAATGGGAACGCAAAACAGCAGATATCCTGAGAACAGTTTGGCTGCTTCTTACAAAGTCACACATACATTTTCTATATGACCCACCAATCCCATTCCTGGTTATAAATTCTAGAGAAATAAGCAAACAAAACAAAACGAAACCTTGTACACAAGTGTTTATAACAGCTTATTTGTAACTGCCAAAAGCTAGGTAGCTCAGCTGGTAAAAAATCCACTTACAATGCAGGAGACCTCGGTTCGATTCCTGGGTCAGAAGTTCCCCTGGAGAAGGGACAGGCTACCCAGACCAGTATTCTTGGACTTCCATGGTGGCTCAGATGGTAAAGAATCTGCCTGCAATGCGGCAGACCTGGGTTTGATCCCTGGGTTGGGAAGATTCCCTGGAGAAGGGCATGGCAACTCACTGCAGTATTCTTGCCTGGAGAATCCCCATGGACAGAGAGGCCTGGCAGGCTACAGTCGACAGGGTCACAAAGAGTTGGACATGACTGATCGACTAAGCACAGCACAAAAACATTCCAAATTTTCTTCAACAGGTGAATGAACTAGTATAACCATAAATGTAATATTAACCAGCAACAAAAACAAAGTACTGATACACACAACAACTTGGATGAATGTAAAAGGCATTATGCTGGGAATGGTTCTCAGAACTCTCTGAGATGCTGTTCCTGGATTATAACCCTCAATCTGGCACAAATAAAATTTTCCATTAAAAAAAAAGGCATTATCTGAGTGAAAGATACCAACCTTGAAAGGTTACACATGGTACAAGTTCATTTAAGTGGCATTCTCAAAAAGATGAAACTACAGGGTTATAGTGGTTTACAGTGCTTATAGACACAGTGAGGGGTGATTATAAAGGAAAAATAGATTTTTTTTGTTGGGGGGGGGTGATGGCGCTGTTCTGTAGTTGATGATGGGGGTGATTATACAAATCTATACCTGTGGCAAAATTAACAGAATTGTACCCCTGAAAGGGAAAAATAGTCAATTGT